GAAGATCAGACCGCAGTCTCTTGCCTTTCTGTAATTGCTATATGGCCACTGTCCAACGCTGACTGTGGTTGCAGAGCATTCTCTCTGCTTTACAGCTCTCTGCTCCCCTCCCGTCAGTCTGGAGCTTGCCATTTTCTGACCTGTAGTTTTCGAGACTCAGCCTGGATAGTGTGACTGTACTGGAAGCAGATGGCCGGCAGTAGCAAAATCATGTTTGGTGTGTGTTCCCGCTGTAGCAGATGAGACCAGCGCAGGAGCCTGTCGCCCTGGGCTCAGATCTCCTGCAAATCCATAATATAAAACTTCTTTGTCGCGTCTCATAAGCAAATCTAGTACCAGGATATTATTGTTACGGTTCGGTTGTGCTTGGAATATGGTTAGTGAGGCAAGCTTTGTAAATCTTTATTTTGAGAGATTAAGACTGGGGAGAAAGGCACCCATACAGTGGCAGAGCACTACGTACGTGTGCTCACCTTAGGATTAAGGACCCCCTCTGGCATTTATAAAGCAGTCCAGCTGCGTTGGTATTAATGAGGGAATATAGGTGTCAGGCGCTTCTCTGGAGCTTGTGTGTTTGTTTTTTGGAGCCAAAAATGTCTAGGGGAGCTTTCTGTGGAGAAGCCTCAAGGTGGGGAAATACGTATTTAGCTCTGGGGTTATGATTTGCGTTAATTATTGGGTGTGGTGGGATGGTGGGGTTCCTGGATTAGTATGTTTGCATAGCTGTGTTTTTTGAATGTGTCAAGGGGAACCAGGGTGAAGATTAAAACCTTCTTTTTTAGGGAATGTGGGTATAATTGAAAGCAAATAAACTCTTAATAGTCATCTTCAGGCGCAGTGAGCTGCTTTCTAAATATACTGATTATAATTGCAGAATATATTAATAGAAACTGGTTTTGCTCACAAGAAGTATTCATCCCTCTGCAAAGGAAGAGAGAAAAGCACGTTGTCTTCTGCGGCAGTAGGTTGCTGTGAGAAATACGGGGGGAAGCTGAACCCTGTCCCCTGCACTGTAACTTCCAGTGCTTCCACAGCAATAGTGTAAAATGGGTGAGTGTTTGGAGCAGCCAGAGCTTGTCCACGACCGCCCCCCTGCCCTGCTGTCTTTGGGCACAAGCTGACTTGCTCTGCGCCACCCCCCACCTCCCCCAGTTGTAATTAGCAGAAAGAAAAATCTCTCCACACAAGTGTGAGGCAAGAGAAAGGCATCCCAGCTGATTTTCAGGGCAGTGGTCTTTGTGTAGCCTCGCAGATGCCCCGCGTGGTTATCGCAGCATGCACGGATGTGTAGCCTTGGACAAATGCATGGCTTTCTGGACGGCTGGGATGCTGAGAAAAATCCCTCAGGGCTATTTCTATGGGATTTATTGACTGTTCTGTTGTACTGCTGACTGATTCCTGCACAGACTGAGAGACTGTTTTGTAGACATTGTATCCCAAGATATATTTATTCGTTCACCCATTATGTGACCTGTGTATTGGATCAGACACGTACAATGGACCCTGGTAGCAGCAGCTCGAGCCTTGACGAATTCAGTGTCTATCTTCAGAGGTTCATGACAGCAGCTTGCTCCCTATCTACTCTGTTAAAAGGATTACCTAACCATTGCACAATCACTATGGAGACCAGATGGTCTTTTTGCCTGTTTCTTTAGACAAATTGGGTTCACTGTTCCCTTATGAATAGATATAAGCCCTTCAAAGCCCCCTTGTTGAATGTACTTTCTGCTCCCAGATGAAGAATTCTGAATGTAAACTCATTGCTTGTTTGTGGTCTGCGCCTCCGGGTCGGGGAAGGCAGTTTTGCTGGGGGTTTGCAGTTTGTTCAGCCTCTTGCAGCTTAGGAAGTTTGTGTGTTGCCTTCTGTTTAGCTTGAATGGGAAGTCTTTTGTTCAATCCATGTTGCATATGACTTTTTAAAAACTGTTTACGTAAATGGGTGCAATTAGCACCATAGGCAAATCAGACCTGCAAGGCTGTCCTAAATAGCGACCTTCCAAATTGTTAATGTGTAAGATGAAATTTCTGTGGTTTGTCTTTTTAACAAATATCTTTGTGATAAGAGCCATGAATTTATAAGTCTGTAGCATCTCTAGCATGATCCAAAAGGATATATCTCTTCTAAGGCATTCATTCGCTAACCTTTTTCTAGGCTTGCCGTTGAGACTGTTTTTAGTGCTTGTTTGCAACCTTTGGTTTTTGGTAAGGTTAGCAAAATACCTAGATTACCAGTGAATTCCTTTAAATACCTTCAAGGTTCTTACACAGTAAATGGCCACAAAAAGAGTCAAAAAGAGCAAAACTCTGCATGTTCAACCTAAGTAGTTTTTAAAATGAGAATTACGAACAGTAGTCACTGACTTTATGCAGAAAATAAATTTTTTGGGGGGAGCCAGCATATAAAGAATGATTTCTAGCTAAAACATATATTCCAATACTGAACCTGAGATCTTGCACAGCTTCTTTTCTACTGAATGTCTCGCTGCCTAAACGGCTGGCTTGTCCTGTGAGATTCAGCTTCTGTCCTTCTGTTTTGAGTTGCAGCCTTTGTGTGCCAAGTGAAGAGCTGATACATTCAGATGGTCAGGAAGAACTTGGGTCTTGTTCCCTTTGGGTGTGTGCAGTGCTTTGGTGCTGCCTTGTCGTTGTTTTACTGGCAGATTAACTTAAAATCAGAACGAACCTAAAGAGGGAGGTTGTTGGGCAGTTGATGCAGTGAATTGCGTGGTGGCCTTTCACTGCAAGGGTCGTAGTTGGAATCCAGGCATGGGGAAGGATAAATAGATGTTGCGGGACATTGCTCTGCTCAGTTTGGTCCACATGGTAATGGATCACTGCACAATCCTGCCAGCTCTAATTGGTCTTTCAGAAAGAAAACTGGAGGAGGCTCAAAGTTTGCCCTAACTTGTGAGTGAGAAGGATAGAATTAGAAAGTAAAACACTTACCCAAACAGTGATTCAGTCGTATTAATTCAGTGTCAGTGTATGTGTATAAAAATGTATGTCTGAAGTCCACTCCCTTAATGTCTCAGACGTCTCTTCTCCATTTGTAACTTATGTCTGATTTTTTTCTTCTGCTATTCACTTTGATTACAGCTGGAGTAAAGTGTAAGTTCTATTTGATGGAGAGCCCTTTTTTGTCTTTTTGGTGTTTTCTAGGAAGACTGCGTGCAACTTCATCCTGGTTTTGGCAAGTGTAGAGGCTGGCCACAAAGACGATGCAGAGCGTGCTAACTGCTAACAGTGCCTGTGCTTAAGAGTGATCCTACAGGTTTGCTCTTCGTTTTATACTGTGCTTTTAATTAAAAAGTGTTAAGGGCTATAGGGATGGTAAAATATATACAAACTCCAGAAGATAAGATTCTGCTTTTACAATGCAGATTTTTGATTCATTAACATTTTGACAAAATTTTAATGAGGCTGCAGTGTGTTCTCCTAAGAGTGATCATCTGAGATCCGACGTGCAAAGAATAGTGCTCATGGAAAAAGCACTTTGATGTTGTTTCTGTAAATGACCAACGTGGAGATTCACTCCAAGTAAAACAAAAGAAGAGAGATATCTTTTTTACTTTGGGGTACACTTTATGTAGGTCCAGAATCTTGAGTTACCTCAGTGGGGCAATTTGACTGCTCCAGTGTGGGCTATTCACTGTGAATTCAGTAAAAAGCTAGAGTGTTTTACTAAATGAACTATCGAACTGCGCCGTGCTGAATGAACACAATGCCGTTTTGTGCTGTAATGGAAGATGAGGCTCTTCGCTAACCAAGTTATTTTTTGTTTGTGTTTATGGTTTTGGGATTTTTTCCTTTTCTCCTGGATTGACTCCATTTAAAAACAAAGTTGGGGTTTGCTGAGCAGTTTGTTGAGGCAACACTTGGTTGCACAGAAACCAGTCGAGCTGAAATTGAAGTGTGCTTGCCTCCTGGCAGAAGGGATTTTTCTGAAAGTACAGTTCACTTTACATCTAAGTTATGATTATCTTGCTGTCTCCCTTTCATTATGCCATTGTTCTTGGGAGCCAGAGATTTTGTAAGTTATAAGAAAAGGATGTTGCCAAGGGTGTGGGTGGAGAAAGGTGTTGACATGATTTCAATGGAGCCAGATTCCAGCTTTATAACAGAGGAGTAATGAACCATGCAGAGAATAGGCTTTCCTAGCCTGCCCCTAAAATAAGTTCAGTTATGAATTCAGTGTTGTAAATGGCTATTTAATGGCTTTTTTTGAAACAATTGCTTCGTATCGTTTTTTAAAAAGGCACTTTTCCTGTGTAGAGGGTAAAAATGGTCTGTTACTTTTCGCTTTGTCTTCTAGCCATTGTTTCTAATGAAACTCTTGTTAATTTAGTGGAAAATGGGGAATTCAGAAAGCCAATACAGTCTTCAGGGATCAAAAAATCATGCTGCTGCTACAGCTGGTGCCAAGCAGAAGCCTTGCTCTCTGAAAATTCGCAGTATTCATGCTAAAGATGAAAAGTCTTGCTCTGTGCACGGATGGGGACATATGAGTAGTGGCTCAAACTACAAATCGAGGTCCCTTGCCAGAAGCTGCCTGTCACACTTCAAGAGCAGTCAGCCTTATTCATCTAGACTCGGTGATACTGTGGTGAAGGTCTCTAAAGGTAGTGCCCATGCCAAACACAGGACAAACGCCGTGGGGGACTACTGCCAAGGAAATAATGCCGTGTTTTTGCCTGAGAACGGTTTCCACTATATTGGCCTTCAAGCTGGAAGTAATCATGCTGCTTCTCGAGAATGCAATGGGCACATTTTAAATTGCTATGGAAAGAATGAGAGTCTTGCATCAACCTCCCCATCAGAGGACAGGAGGAGTCCAAAAGTTCTCATTAAGACGCTGGGGAAGCTGGATGGTTGTTTGAGGGTCGAGTTTCACAATAGCAGCAATAGCAAGGTACCGACCGAGTTGTCCAGTGGACCGGTCCAGTTGCTGAGATACTCGCCTGCCTTGGAATCTAAGCCAAATAACCTGCTGGACGTCAGGAGAAACTCCAGCGCAGACTGTTCTTCAAGCCATCGTCTGTCACCTACTGATTCAAGGCTTCGATCGAGTAAAGGAAGCTCCCTCAGCTCTGAGTCTTCATGGTATGACTCTCTCTGGGGAAATGCTGGGGATATCAATGAGTTGGATGGTCCATATTTGACCAGGAGCACTCCAGATACAAGCATTCATGCCAGTTTCCCAGCAAGTGACAACAATAAGTCCTTCAACCAAAGTTCATCTCTTTCCTCACTCCGAGATCTCTATAAGGATACAAATTTGGAAAGCACTCCTCCACCTGTGATCAGACTGTCTGATGAGTATATCGACACTCATGGTAGCCTAAGCAATCGTGTCTCATTTGCCTCAGACATCGATGTTCCCTCCAGGGTAGAGCAAGGAAGCCCTGCACATTACTCTTCCTACACACTCCCATGCAGAAAGTCCAAGCCGCTCAGTGAGGATGCATCCAAGAAGGATACGTTAAAAAACCGAATGCGACGCATCAGTGACTGGACAGGAAGTCTCTCAAGGAAGAAGAGGAAGCTGCAGGTATGTACAAACCGCAGCCTAAGTGCTTGAAAGTTGGTTTGTAAATTCCTCTTATAAACATAGTGATTGCATCATGTTTGTCTTTCTTACAGGGTATTTACTTGCTAATCTCATTTAGTAATTTGTGGAATTCTGAGAAGTATTGCATCCCTGGATCTGTCTGAAATGTCAAAGCCAAAAGAGAGACTTGTTTGTGCGTGCAAATTTTCCCTTCATATTGTCACCTTCTTAGCTAACCTCCATTTTCTGCAGCCTAATCTCTCAGCAAATTAGCTTTTGAAATCATTGCATTACTTAAAAAGTGACTTGGAGTTTTTAAGTCTTCTCTTCAACTATGAAAATATAACCTAGGTATCATGTGTTATGCTATGAATCAGCATACATTATCTAAAGAGTGTGGAAGAAGCAGTAGAAGGAGGAAGTTATAAATATCTTTACGGGTATTCCCTATTTGTATTATTGTCTTTGCCGCTCACTTTGGTTTCATTGTCGGTCCATCTCTAGCAAGGCGAGCAACTGTAGAGTATCAACCGGAGCTGCGGCTCTGCCTCCTTCTCTGAAGGCATTGCTGGGAGCACCTTCCTCCTTCCTGTTGTGTCAGCTTAGTTCACCAGATGCGAGAGCTTGAGTTGCCATCTGGCTCACTGGGGATGGTGGTGTGAAGAAGGGGATGGGAGGAGGACAAGAGGGAGGGAAAGGGTGTTTCTTTAGAAGAATTTAAGGCTAATCCCATTAATAGGAATTTAGGATGCCTGTGGTCAGGAAAATTCTTGTCTCTAGCTGTAGGCCCCAGAACTGGCTCTTTAAATGCCAGACCGTGCCTGGACTTCTGCACGTGAGTTCGCAGGCTGAGATAGAGGACAGAGACTGGTTTTGGTTTTTATTTGGATGTTTTTTTCAATCTTCCCTAGTGTTTCTCATACAGGTATAGTCACTGTGTTTCAGTAAATGGAAGATCTGCTTCCTTTCAGCAACACTGGGGTGCTGACCATTTCAGAATTGAGTGAGAGGGAAGGGAACACCTACTTCTGCAACTTAGGCAGCAGCTAAGTGGTAGGTCATAACATGCGTTATGTGGCATGTAGTGCAGACGCTGTCTCCCGTGCTGGAGATTCAGTCAGGTGTCGTGCTTAGCAGGCATCTGTCATTGCAATGTAAAACCCTGAGGGACCCTTAGGCTCAGAAATTTGGTCAGCGTAAGGTTTGCCAGTGGAAATCCTAGGAAAGTGCAGGTTTGCCAGTGTAAATCCTAGACAAGTGCTGAAGAACTGGGAAAATGAAAGTGAAAGCTGTTTATTTGGATCACTTCTTTTGAGTTTTGGTGCTCATGTATTTTATCAGATACTGTCTTTTCACCTTCTTGCTCATCTGTGAAAGAGAAGGCAGAAAAACTGGGATGAGCGAAGAGCCTCAGCGCTTTGTGCCAGGATTCTTCACTGGTTTCAACATCTGTAGCTGTTCTGGATTTTACAGCCAGGCTTTACATATGATCACTGCATCCCAGACCTTTGCCATGTATTACTTATGACATTTTCAGAATGGTATTTGTGGTGCACAATTCATAGCTGTTTTGAATTCAGTGTGCAGTGAACTGACTTCAGACACAGCAAGGAAATTTGGCTGGCGAGATTACATCAAGCTTGAATCTGACTCTGGTAGAAGGAAATCAGCCCTAGCTCCAAAAATGGCGATTTCTTAGAAAAAGGCATAGGAAATAGTTAGTCATTGATTTTTATCAGACAAGAATCCAGCAACGGGAAGGATAAGAGGGGGTAGCAAATGCTTTATGATTTTGACTTCCTCATGAGGCTTGGTCAGCTCCTTTCCACCCTGCACGCTTTGAGTAACCTGCCATCTCTTCTGGGGGTTGCCGTGTTGTAGTTCGGTAACGGTTATACTCTCACCAGGTCCTGTGGCTTAAAGATGCACAAGTACCGTGCACGGTTATGATCTGTCAGATGGTTAGTCCCTGTCTGTAGGACTGTTCATCGCGGCGATTGTAGCCTTCCTGCTTTGCTCTGAACAGCGTGTCCCTTCCTCAGTACGTTACTAATAACTGATTGTGAGTCACTTGGGCTGAACGTAGGTGAAAGCTGGAATGTTTCCCTTTAAGTAAGCCCAAGCACCAGTGCTGGCTGGTTGGATGTGTCCCTCCGGCTGCCCCAGCGGAAACAAGTCAGCCAAGCCTTCTGCTTCATGGGGGCGCGGGACCAGGAGGCACCGTCTTGGGATATTGAGGCCAGTCCCTTGCTTCTAGAAAGGCAGTGGAGTTTAATCCCCCTCGTGAACAAATTGCAGCTTAAAATCAGGTGGGTCTTTTCCCACCTTGAAGGCTGTTTCCAAGCCCTCTTACTCTGATGCCGCTAATTTTCAGAGTAAATGTAGTCCTGGCCAGTTTGTTCTGATGCCAGTATCATTCTCTACATTAGTTATCCTTCCCTATTATATTGATCTGTTACAGTTTATTTAAAGGGAGAAATGGTATCTTTTCTCAGCCTCCATTTGTGGGGCTATGCAGACTCCCTTTGGTCTCCTGTCTTAAGATAGGAAGCCTGTTTCCTTTTCATTCTGGCACCCTTCCTCTGCACCTGTTTTAAATCATCCATAAACAAATTTGGATATGGGATATTCCAGAGGAGCCCTCGGCTGTGCCCTGTCCAGCAACTTGGATGTTTCCTTATGTCTAACTTAATCTGATACTTGATCTGATATATCCTGGAACTGAGTTTGCCTTTCTAATAATGGTCTCATGCCAGGACTTGCAGTCAATCTCTGCCATGACCCAGCTTTTGTTGCACGAGCTTGTCCTACGTGTTCCCTTGATGCGTTGCTGATACCCTACTGCATGGCATGTCCTCGCTTAGTTTAGTCCTTGCTGGAATGGCATTTGGGAGGATGCTTATATTACAATACGCTATGTGTGAGCAACAAGGTATATGTGATGCACGTGAGACCTGTCGACAGAATTTAGGCAGACTTGTTGCACAGTCAGCCACTGCTAAAGGTGGTGGTGTAAACTCGGAGTGCAGTGGTGTAACATGGAGAAGATGAGCAAACGCCATGTAAGACGGAAATCTAGCCACCAGGAACAGCTGCTGTAGTTAGGTTTTTCAATGAAGTAAATAGCCTCTTTATGGGAATAATTTCTGAAATTTCCTGACTTTATAAGCCAGAGTCCTGAAGTGCGTTGTAAAGAGAATTTAAAAGAAAAGTACATTGAGACAACCTCTTTATTTGGCTTGAAAACTGCTATTAGATTCTACTTTCAACTTGGGTCCTAATGAATTTAGCAGGCTGTATTGTTTCCTGTGCTGTTCTTAACAGCTAATTATTACATACGTCACTTTGTCTAATTGTTATCTTAGCTAGCCACTTCATCTTTTGCATTATCTATAGCTATTTCAGTGTATATCTCGGACATTGAGAGATCAGCTTGAATACAGCTGAGCAGAAACAGTGGGAGTTTTCTATCACTGCTGGATGCAGCAGAGAGAATAAACAGAAAGATGACTGGAAACCAGCACCAGCAGCAATTCAGGTCAGGCCTTTTCAGAGGTGACCAGATACTGCTACAGTGACAGCCTCCCTGAGGACCAGCAGAGACTGTGTAACGCTGCCAATTCTGTTCTTCAAAGAAAAGTAAACTACAAGTGATGTTGTCATGGTGAAGTGTATATATTCATTTTGGATCCTGTGTCCATTTACTCTGCTCTGGTACTTCCTCATTTCTACCTTTTCTGTGTGCATTGAGAAAAGATAGCATGTGGTTAGTGGCTGTTCATGGACAGGTCGTATCCCACTCTTTTCATTAATGCTTATTCCAGTAGTGACCCTTCACAGCAGACACCTTCTTATGTATGCATCTTGTGTTGTTCTTACTAGGGCATTGGTGCTGAAAGCAATACATATTCTTAATAAACTGTACATTAACATTTTCTAGAGGATACTGGCAGTTCCTGGAGAATAGTCAAAGAATTAAAATACAAGATTTTGTCACACATGTACAGTGACGGTAATTAAAAAGAGGGTGGAGAAAGCTTCCAGTTTCCCACTGAACCGCAGATGTCTGGTGCAGTTGTACGTTCCATGTTGTACAGTTGCTTTGTGGGCATAAACATGTTATACGTTTGATTATTTCCCTCCTGTCCCTGATTTCCCTTCATCTACTGTATAAAAGCCCATACTGTTGATGTTTAGGGAGTCACTCTTGGAGAATGCTGACCAACAGTCTGCAGTAAGATTTGAGGAAGATGCTCCATTACCAGGGTAATTGGATCCTTGTTGCCAGACACAGTGATCTGAAAAGCCAGGCTCAAATCTCAGCGTACCATAAGAGAGTGTGAGTTTCAGTTAAAGTTGGCTTTTGCAAGGCCATGACCAGCAGTGTCCTGCTGCTTCAGAAGTGGCTTGTCTGGTGACGCCTGGGAGGGCGTGCGATCCCACTGTTGCTCTTGGCTGTGCGCTGGACGTCCTGATGCTATCAAAACACGGCACAGCTTTTCCGCTGCAGTTTTGAAGAGCATCAAGTAGGAAGCAAAGGAACAAAAAAGTAGTTGCTTTCAAAGTTGCTCGTGAGAGCAGCTCACAGGAGACCAAGGTTTATTTACTTTTTTCGTGTACAGAAGTATGAGCAAATAAATGCTTTTAGAGAGGCAGTCTAAACTTTAAAGTATAATAGCTTTATTATTACTGAGGGTAATAGCTTCACTTCTTGAGTTGTTTATAGCCATCTCTTCCCTCACACTTTTACTGCAAAAGGCAGTGGGTTTTGTGTGTTCTTAAATCTTGGTTGCTTTTAAATGGCATCAGCAACAGCTGAGTTGGGAAGGCAGTGAATGGCTTCTTACAATGAATGTTGTGGTTCTTGACAGTGAAGTTAGTCCAAGGAACTCTGTCTTGGGTAGTATGAAAATCCCTGCCCATTACTGGAGCCTGGGAGAGTTGGGAGCAGTCAGCACATTATTGGGAAAGGCTTAAGAAAGAAAAGGCCCAATCTGCCAACAAGGTCCCACGTTGACAAGCAGCGTCAAGAAATGGGCCTGTTGTTATCCATATCACAAGGCAAACTTGAAGTCATACCATCAGGCCTGAGTATTCCAAATAAAACTGGCCAGCCCTCTCAATACAAGGGATAAAGTTGCACAATGCAATTAGGGAGAAAGGCCTGTTGGTGCTTGATGAGAGAGTCAAGCTCTCGAGGGGTTTCCAGTAAGTCAGAAAATTGCACACCTCTGCAGTCTGGAGACTGGATTTGTGACAGTCAGCAAGCACGACTTTCTATTTTTAAAATCACATCTTCTGTTAGATTAGATTTTTGTCAATTGGTCAATACTAACAAGCTTAAAATATTCTCAACTTTTGACCTTTTTTGTGTTGGGTAAGCACAGTTTATATGACAGAAAGTGGAGGTAAAATCAGCCTAGCTGTGCTGAAGCTTAATGCAGTTGCCTCACACAAATGAGGCGTCACCAAATTATTGAAAACTGTGTAATAATAAACAAACTTGTTTTGACACTGTTGTTTCCACTTGTACTTCAACAGGCATGTAAGCAGTGGTGCCTGGGTTTCAGCTGGAGAATGTGGTTGTCATCAGTTTTCAGCCAGGAGAAGCCCCAGTAGTTACTAGCGAATTTAGAGGTCACCCACAGGTGTATGAGTTACCAAAGCTTGCAGACTTAGTGTTTAGGGTTTAATGGGGTTCTGCTGAGAAGACAGTGAGTGGTGGTACTGATGCCGTCAGTGACTGCAGAGGCAAAGCCTATGAGGTCATGGTGAGAAGAGGTGGCCCTTGATGAATGAACTGGCTGTGGCTAAACATGAAACAAATTTAAATGGCAAATGAGGTGTGTCTTTTCATCGTAGCCCTGGTGACTGATCGCTGACAAATTCCTTTTTTGCCCAGGAGCCAAAGTGTAAAGATGGGAGCGAATACTTTGACAGCAGAATGGACAACTTCACCACGGACACGCTGGCACCGTCGCAATTTTCTGCTTTGCTCTGGTCACCTGGCTCCAGCCACGTCCTGTCCCAGAGAAGTGAGTCCACCAACGCCATCAGCAGTGATGCCCTGAGGCAGAACATTTATGAAAACTTCATGCGGGAGCTGGAGATGAGCAGGACAAACCTGGAGACCACCGAAACCTCGTCGGAAACGGAGGACTCCAGCGGGGAGTCCCTCAGCTCCTTGGAGCAGCTGGACCTGTTGTACGAGAAAGAGCAAGGAGTGGTGCGCAAGGCGGGGTGGCTGTTCTTCAAACCCCTGGTAACCCTGCAGAAGGAGAAGAAGCTGGAGCTGGTCACACGGCGGAAGTGGAAGCAGTACTGGGTCACACTCAAAGGTAAAGCACCACTTTGCTCCTTCGGCTTGGCAGCAGCAGAGGTTTCCATTGTGTCTCGGCAACTTTTTGTGCATGCTGGTTTCTGTTAGCAGGTTTAGAGGGTTTGGAAATTCGTGCCTAACTTTACATGGTCTATTCACATGCTTAAAGTGGGGCGTGTGCCTAAGCAACCCACTGAGTCGCGGTGGTGCTCGTGTCTTAGGTGTTGCATGTGCAGCCTTGGGCTTCATGCCATAGAAGGAATTGTTTTGTCTGACTTCCCAGTTTCTGTATTCAACACAGAATTGGGGGGCTTAGAAGATGCTTTTGAATGGTTGGAGGTCAAAGACCCAATTGAACCAAAACTGAGAAAAATACAGAAGTTACACCTCTGTCTTGAGGGGAATCAAAATTTCAGGATCAGAAGTCCCTGGTACCCAATTCCCTGTCACAGGCACGCAGTTCCTTGGGCTCTGCTATGAGGTTTACTTAAATTTGGGGTAAGTTAATGTAAAAATGTTGAATTCATAGAATCACAGAATGG